AGAAAGTTGCTTAAGTCAGGACTGAACCTCAGAGAAAGTGTTACCCTTTAAATATCAGCTTTTTCATACAATCAGCTTACAATAAATTACTATTAAAAGAACTATTTAAAGGGTATTTAGAAGTACGACCCGGAATCAATAGTCGCCTGGCGGGTTCCTTTATTTGCGCTCGCTTGGCTCACATGGCTGGTTTGGGTTTGGGCTTGGGCTTGGGCTTGGGGCTTGGGTATGATTGATACTTAATGCCGCTTTTAGCCTCGTTAGGATATCGCTAGCCGTGTCCTGCAACCGTGTCGATGTGTATGTGTCGCCATCCTAATCGGCCAGTTTTATTGTCATTTCTTTGGCTTTTGTTTGAGCCTCAGCCGGGCGCCAATTAGCTGCCCGTTGTCATCGAATTCTCGCCTACCAATTCCCCAAATCCCCGATGTCCTTTCCCATACCGACACCGGCACACATACACCCACACACACACACACACACACCCACATCCACATCCAATCTCACCCATTTTTCCATTTGTCAACGTTAATTGATGGTGAGCACTCATTTAGACTTAGATCTCTGGCTAGTGCGTCAATCAATCAGTTGGTCAATTGGTCAATGAGTCAGTGAGTCAGTGAGTCAGTCGACTTTCTGGCTTTCAATTAATTTATGCCAATGCCTAATTTTGATAACTGCCCACACCGGCTGGATGCGGATTGATGGCATGATATAACTAAAACAGGTTGCACTGGTCCCTAATGAAGCGGCCACATGGCGGATGAGCAATGTGCGGATGCCCAATCCACGAGACCATTAACAATTCAGATGAGTTCCTTCTTCTATTTCAATTACTGCGACTCTCCTTTGTGCTATTTAAATTAAGGAAATGATTAACCCAGAGAAGAGAGAGATTAGTTCTGACATTTGCTGGCCCATTATTAGTTAGTTAGTTGCATAATTTAATTTTAAGTTGGAATATTATAAGTCCTACATTTATTTACCATCTTTAGAGAGCTTTAACATGTAAACTACTTGCTCCCTTGACTAAACTAGCACTTAGTTTGATTACATCTAAAGCGATTGCTTATATAGCGATCATAAACGCTTCTGGCTGATAAGCTAACACTTTTTTTTTGTTTTTTGTTGTCCTCTAAGCGTTAAAAATTAGCATAGAAATTTCATGTTTAACTAATTTTGGATGCGGGCGCTTGGAAAAGCGACAAAAACAAAGAGCAAAAATTATGGGAAATCCATTCAATTAACGCATCAGTTGGGGGAAAGGGGGAGGAGGGGTTGGTGAATCGATGTGGAAATGGTGAGCAGCGGGGCGGCGGATAAGTGGGCGGCGAGTGGGGAAAACACACATAAACAGAGGCGCATAAGCGGCCATATAATCACTTCAATCACGTTTGCATAATTGTTCAATTATGAAGCAATTACCGCAAGCGATGGCCGGCTTCTCAGTCGCTGTCTCTTTCTCCTTCCCCGTATAGCCGTCTCTTTTTGGTTGCGTATGCCCCCGTCTCTCTTCCTCGAACCGCTGACCGTCTCTTTCGCACGTTTTTCGGGTAGGCGACCGCGAGTGTTATCAGTTATATGCCAAAAACCGAAAAACGATGCCTGGCCACCAAAAATCATCAGCCACATGCGATGTCCTTTGGACCTACAGCCGCTCTACTCCCCCCTCTCTGTAATCCTGCCACCCCCGTTCCTGGTTCAACCCGCCGAAGCTCCCAAGCTTGTATTGGTGTGTCATATTAATTAAGCGTTTGATTACCTACCAAACGAACGTTGGGAAATCCATTCGGATTTGGTTCGATTTCCCAATTTTTTCCTGGTGCTTCTGGGGATTTTTGGGGTTTCCCGTAAAGTAGAAGGGATCCGGGGATTTCGGCGATTTTGGTGATTTTGGTGATTTTGGGGTGTTGCAGGGGGGGTTGTGCAGAAGACTGGGCATAATTGCATGCAATTTTTATCGCCGCAAGGACAGATGCCCAGGATGACGATTGCTATGATGATGATGATTCTGACCATGCTGACCATTCTGGAAGGCTGGCGAGCTGGAATGCAGGATGTGCGGGTTATATGACCGATACACGCACTTAACTGGTCGGTAATCGGTTATGCAGCAGCTGATAAACTTAAAAATTGCAATGGTCGAACATTGTAGGAAGCCTTTCCGGGCATTAGGCTATAAATCACATGGCAAATATACGGGGAAAGCAACTGAAATACAGCTCGATTTTAGGGATTTCATCGAGGTTTGATAAGATCTAACTTAATAACTAAATGTAAAAATAAATTATTTATATTAAAATGGAATTTTCATTTTTTGATGTGTGTCTTGATGTGGAGGTGTCAATTAGCTTACTCATTTAAATAGTACGTGAGGAGTCTCTCCTAATCACCCACCTTCAGCGTCTACACGTTAAACCTCACTTACTGAGGTTGTTCCATTAGTAGTAGATTAGTGAAGGCCACCTACTGTTATCGACATGATGTGATCAATGGTTTTCAAGTCTAATGTTAAGAAGAGTATTTTCATACCCATTACTCGTAGCACAGCATTCTTTAGTTTAGATATTATAGCCCTTATGATGGGCAGACTAAGTAGACTGGTGATAACAGCGATTAATCGTGGTAAGCGAAGGTAAGTAAGCAAAGGAAAACGTTTGGATGTCTTCCAGATCATTATGAGAATGCCAACCATTACCACAGCTTCAAGATTGCTGCTCACAATATTCCTACTGAAATGAAGATCTTTCTCTGGCATGTTTATGAATACGAATAACGAATAAATTACGTACTGAAGAAAGATAAACGATGAACGAAATTATCTGAAAATAAAGCCCAAATCTAAGGATAACAAACCTTCGACTTTGGAGGCCATGTATTCGGGAGCAAGTCCATCTTCCAGCACTTGGGATCTTGCTTTGCTTGTCCCACCTGCAGACAGCCGGTGTATTATAACTCACTACGCAGCCTCTACCCATATTAACAGACTGGGCTCTTCCAATGCTTCAGATTGTAATGTTAATAACATGAATGGAAACGTTGGACTCAGGACATGTAATTATTTATACTAGTACTATTATCAAATCGAACGAGCTTGTTAAGCTAAGTTGCCTGTTAGTTTATACGGATATATGCGGATATCACAGTTTACAAAAAATTATATAAAGGGTTTTTATACGATGGGAAACCCTGACGAAGCAAGTGTTCGGAGCAGCATTAACAAAATTGTTAAATTTTAAATGGCATCAGCGATTGTTTGTTTTAATAAAACTTTGTTTGGAAATGATAGCGAAAAAGGTTATCACGGAGACTTTTTCGATCCTCTTGCTTACTCATCTCTTATATTCCCCGAGTTTGTAATCAGAGCGATCGAAATGCAGTCTTTCGGCTTTTGCGTACCCTTTTTTGGTCACTGCAGTGCAGCTCCAGTAAGTTCGCAATGAATAAAGTATTTTTTGTGCAGTTCAACTTAGTGTGTGTTTAATTCAATTTGATAATTAAGGGTGGCAAAACGAAATTGCCATTGCCATTGATTGCTAAAAGGGCAGTCAACAAAGTTGTATCTTTAAGCAACTTGCAGCATTTAATTTATTTTAATTTGCAGCTTAAGTTTGAAGACTGCTTCTGAGAGTATTTCACAAGATCATGTATATAAATCCATCCAGAACAACGACATCCTCCATCACAATTTCTGTCAATATGTTCCAAATATTGCTTCTTCCCTTATTTCCCTTATCCCTTATATTCCCTTATATTCCCTTCCATATCCATCCATTCTATATCGATCAAAGAACAACAACATATCGATCAAAAACTAATTATGAACTACAAAAATGTAATGCAAGTCATCGCCAAACGAAGAATTTGACTAAAAAGAACGAAAACAAAAACAAGCTACAACAACACGCTGAAAGAAGCTCGCATAGAAATTGTAACTGTACATCAGTGTTGCCAGTTTAGCTATTATAAGCTAGTTCTAGCATATTTGAAACTGAAAAGCTTGTAAAACTTGCATCTAACTTACAGCTTTATATATAGCTTTTTTAAAACACATCTAGCATATTTCAGCTTTAAATTTGCTTTTGATTTGCGACATCAACGGTTTGTTTTGTAAGAAAAATATTCTTTATGGCATGAAAATATCGAAGCATGTCCTTTTTTTTGACGATGGTTATGTGCAGTTTATTTCTAATCGATAGTGTGGGAGGCACAGGCATGGGAAATGTTGCCAAACGTACGTGCCTATAAAAAGAATTAAAAATATTTAAGTTACGATTAAGATCACGAAAATTATTAATTATTTACTGATTTAATTTAAATACAAACTCTAAGAACATCTAAGCTTTAATATAATTTCAGGTTATTCTAGCTTATTTTTTTCCAAAAATCTAGCTTATATGTGCGCTTATCAGCTGGCAACACTGCTGTACATGCAGTCGTAACCAGCGTTTGAAAAGCTAGGCTACTCCCGTAGTTTGTCGCTTTGCTATGCTACCGTTCTCACTTTTTTCGAGAGCGGAAGCGAAAATTGAGAGCGATTGATTTGATTTTCTATGCCGTCACCAACGCTTGGTTAACCGCCTTTGGTTGCGTAGGGATATCTAGAATATGCAAGGTTAACCTAATCTGTCTAGCTCTTACACTATAAGACTTATAGATCCCAATATTTAAACGTTTTTGTTATTGTGAGTTGATAAATACATATGTCTTACTGAAAGTTTTCCTGTTTTAACTCATTAATAGAACAACGTTAAGTTGAGATTTTACAACCATTAATAAAGATTTGAAATTTCTCGATAATTAGTTAAAAGAACTTTAGGTGGAAATCGTAGTAGGGTGGTCATCAATCGAACATTCCCTTCATAAGACGAGGTAAAAACATCAGTAGCCCTGGTTTAAAGTAATAAAAGTCTTTCCTGTCATATGTCATATAAAGCTGCTCACAATTTTTCATTCCTGCTGAAGTTAGAGCTAATAATACATATAAAAACACAATCGTGCTCATTAAAAAAGTTAACATTTTTCAATTGCATAAGAATGTCGTGTGGAAAATGTCGCGGACACAAGGAGAAGAGTGTGAAGTGCCTCATAGCCGCATTGGACACTGTCAAACAGCACGCTCTTAGTAATTCAAACATAAATCGATTTTCGTTGATAATAAATAAATAATATCCACAGTGATGGAACGAGATTCGGAGGAGAACGCCCGGACCATAGAAAACCTGCAGGCCCGCAATGAAAAGCTGCACAAGGAGTTGGACTTGCTAAAAGATCGTCAGGAATTCATAATTCCCGCAGGAAAACGCAGGTTACTGTCGCTAAAAATGATTAAGGATGACATTTCTCCGCAGCCACAAAGCCAGGATTCCTTGAACGTGAACATAGCCATCAGCAGTATTGACCTTTCCGACGAAGATCAGGAAATGAAGGAAGATGAAATCATTGCGGAAACGCAGACTAACGTACCAAGCCCGCGTAAACTGCAACTACCTAACCGGAAGCCGAACATCCGGAATTTAAAAAGCAGACAAGCAACGTTTGGATTAGTAAGCCGTCCAATAATGCAGGAGTTCTCCCCAAATTGTCACTACCTCACAAAAGTTCCAACTTAAAACAAACACGCCTTAAATTCAAAGCAGTTCAGACGAGCACTACCAAAAACGATTTGATGGAGGAAAGCAGCCCCAGTTTGAGCCTTAAAAGGTCTTGGCCCCCAAGACCTTTAGTGCAAAGGTATTTATGAATACTATATACTAAAATATATCACAGAAATCTTTCCTAATTAAGATACATTTCTGTTAGATTGTTAGATAACCGATCAAATTCTATATCCTCGTAAAGATTTATGTGACTCTTTTAGTTATCATTCGTTTTGATTGTAAAAACTGAGCTTGCAGGACGGGCAACGTGGGCGTCTTAAGCGCTGACGACTTGCCTACTACCAGCAGTCGTAATATCACCAGCAAGTCCACTTTTGAGAAGAAGTCAATGGGCACCATGGATGTTCTTGCCGAAATTATGAAGGACGACGACGAAGACTGTTCAAGCGCCTTAAAGCAGTTTGAGCAAGACATGATTGACCAGCAGAAGCATCGTCTATCAAATCGAACTAAAGTGGAAAAAGCCACTCCAGTTGTAAAAGCTGTTAATACCGAACCCGTATCGCAGCCAGAAATAGAAGTGGGCAATGAATCAACAAAACTCTCGCAGGATACCGGGAAGTATCTAATGAAAACAAAAGAAGAGGATACAACGGACTCGGAGGAGGAGTTTCCGCGGCCTTTTTTGGTCAAAGAAGAACCTGAATTGTCGGCAAAAGATCGTTTCAATATTGAATCAACAAAACTCTTGCAGGATAAGTATCTAATGGAAACAAAAGAAAAGGATACAACGGACTCGGAGGAGGAGTTTCCGCGGCCTTTTTTGATTAAAGAAGAACCTGAATTGTCGGCAAAAGATCGTTTCAATATTGAATGTGTGGAGTGCGAAAAGGTTTGTACAATTCGTCCTTCATAAAATCATTTATATTTTACCAATTTCTTTCACTTAGTTGATAAATTTCATGGGCTCAAATTTGACTGATGAGAAGATCGAAAAGTATTTGGCCAACTGTAAACACGTAAATGTACGTAGTAACACGCCACCGGGATTCTGGAATCCTCACATGGTTACCTTTGCCGAAGACGATCCCCGTAACGAGATTTTGATAGACAATAGGTTTAGGGACCAGCAAAAAGGAAAAATGACATTAAAGAAATAATTAGGTTGTTCCATTTCGACCTTTTCATTTATTAGTTTTATATGTTGGTACTCATTTCTTTAACAAGTTTCCACGTTTGGCTTGGTCAATTCCCATGGCCGTGAACAAAGACTTCAAGTTTCCAGCGCCAAATCCCTGAAATAGCTAAAATTGTCAATGACTTTTCTTAGAAAAGTTTAAGCAATGAATGAATAACATTGGGATTATAACGTTGGATATCTTCGAGGAAGAGAGTGGGCCTGTCTTGGCTGTTCTTCGTAAAGGTCTGCAACGATGTCCGTTCTCATTAATGTCAGTCAAAACGTTCAACTTCTTTAGCACCTACATGTCCTCCTTAATCTTGGTACGGCTATGCAAAGGCTGTTCCTGCAGCAGCTCATAGTACGAGGGGTGTGGCTCACGGCTTGGATAATGTCATCCGTGTTGAGAGCAATGTGCTGGACACCGCCACCACCGTAGTACTCGACATAGTCCTGGATCTGTGACTTCTTGTTTCTATTGGCCGGCCTATTGATTGGCATCTTCACCGTCCCCTCGTAGTTGGCCATCACAATAGATCGCTGGGCGGAATACTAAGTGTCGATCTGAGAGTTATCCACCAACCAGAAGTGATGGAGCTAGATTCTTTCGTACCAGGAATCCACACATGAGCAAAGAAGTTTAGTTTGGTGGCTCTACAGATTTCTGGAATCCGGGCGGGATGTCCCCAGCATAACCATTTTGCTCAACGAAAGTGTGGGTGATATCACCGTACAATATGCAAAGTGTGGAATTGATTTAGATTTATTTTATAAATAATATAACTGTTCATAGATGAAAATTACACTTCACCTACGGTCTTGATGGTAGCAAATCTTACGAATCCCTGATCATCGCTCTCCCCCCAGATGTCACGAACCACTTGGGCTACAAGGCACAACGCCAGCGTAAAGATGACATGCAAATCCTCCACTCCGAAGGCTACATCCTAGACACCGTGACCATAACGCAGTCCCTGCTCCTTGTCATCCGGAGTATAAGCAGAGACGAAAACAAAGACGATCTTGTTCCGACGGACGGCATGCTTGGCGAAGCATCGTTCTCCGGTCTCTAATTCCTGGTAGCCGAGTGGTTCGAAGCCAAGACGAGTGGTATAATAGCTGGCCGCCAACGTATAAAGTCAAGTGATCAAGGCTTAGGAATTAGTCGGCTTCAGGCTGTAGAATAAATGATGTAATCAGTAATGAATTTATATGACAATATGAGAGATTTTAAGACTAACTTCGGATCCGTTGTCAGTATGGGAGGTCTGTGGGCAGAGTTAGAAGAGTTCAAATTGGAATTATTATAAAAGGTGTATCAATGACTAATGAAAAACATCAAGTGCCCCTGTTTAGGGAAATAAAAGCCATTTTGACATATGTCTTACTAAGCTGCTCATAATTTTTGATTCCTGCTGAAGTGAGGACCTTGCTCTGGTTAGTTTTCTGTACTTTGTGAAATAAAATAAAAAATATTTCCGTACTTAAGATATATATCCGAAGAACCATAAGTCCTTACCTACGAAAAATGAAGCCCAAATCGAAAAATGACAAGGCCTCGACTTTGAAGGCTGCTCTTAGTACTATACTGAAGAAGAGTCGCGATGACTTGAGCGAGAAACTTCGGCAGGCAGCCGCCAAGCTGGAGAAAGGCCCATCGCCAGGGCCCTCGAGGGAGCAAGGAACCCACTCAGCAAGGGTTCCGAAAGGGGAAGATGGACAATGACCGGGACCGACTGATGTACATGAATAGCATTACGATGCTTAATGATGGAATGCGCAAGAGAATTGAGCAGTTCAAAGAATCAAAGATTGCATTGGTGGAATCGAACGCAAGACTCAAATTGGAGATTCAAGATTTGACCCAAAGGAAAAAAGAATTGGATCAAATCCACAAGGAGAACTCTTGTCCGATCTGCCTTTCCCGGTGGCATCTCGATGGCGACCATTTTCCGATGTCTTTGAAATGCGGCCATGTTTTCGGTGCGAAGTGCATCTTCCAGCACTTGGGATCTTGCTTTGCTTGTCCCACCTGCAGACAGCCGGTGTATTATAACTCACTACGCAGCCTCTACCCATATTAACAGACTCTTCGGGCTCTTCCAATGCTTCAGATTGTAATGGTAATAACATGATTGGAAACGTTGGACTCAGGACATGTAATTATTTATACTAGAACTATTATCAAATGCTTGTTAGTTTATACGGATATATGCGGATATCACAGCTTACAAAAAATTATATAATATATATATATATATATAATATATATATAATATAATATAATATATAATATATTATATATAAAATTATATAAATGGCATCAGCGATTGTTTGTTTTAATAAAACTTTGTTAGCAAATGATAGCGAAATAGGTTATCACGGAGACTTTTTCGATCCTCTCTTGCTTACTCATCTCACTTACTCACTTACTCATCAGAGCGATCGAAATGCAGTCTTTCGGCTTTTGCGTACCCTTTTTTGGTCACTGCAGTGCAGCTCCAGTAAGTTCGCAATGAACAAAGTATTCTTGTGCAGTTAAACTTATTGTGTCCTTAATTAAATTTCTTAATTAGGGTGGCAAAATCATTGTCTCCCCCATAACGGTCAGACATCAGAGTTACGAAAGCTAAGCAAGATTATTGGTGGAAGAGCGACTGTCTTTTGTGTTTTATCGATTCATCGGCAGATATAAGCTATTGTTCATGTGTTTTCCATCTTTGATTTCGTTTAGCTTTGGTCTCTCTAAACAAAAACCGTAATAAGAAAAGTTTAGTGTAAACAGACATACATTATTGGATGACGACCTTAATCAAATATATTTCATGAAGAATACGGAAATCTCCTCAATGCTTTTGCTGGAAACGTCGCTGATCCCGTTCAGCAACCTTAAGCCCATTGCTTTCCCAATATTCCTACTGAAATGAAGATCTTTCTCTGGCATGTTTATGAATACGAATAACGAATAAATTACGTACTGAAGAAAGATAAACGATGAACGAAATTATCTGAAAATAAAGCCCAAATCTAAGGATAACAAACCTTCGACTTTGGAGGCCATGTATTCGGGAGCAAGTCCATCTTCCAGCACTTGGGATCTTGCTTTGCTTGTCCCACCTGCAGACAGCCGGTGTATTATAACTCACTACGCAGCCTCTACCCATATTAACAGACTGGGCTCTTCCAATGCTTCAGATTGTAATGTTAATAACATGAATGGAAACGTTGGACTCAGGACATGTAATTATTTATACTAGTACTATTATCAAATCGAACGAGCTTGTTAAGCTAAGTTGCCTGTTAGTTTATACGGATATATGCGGATATCACAGTTTACAAAAAATTATATAAAGGGTTTTTATACGATGGGAAACCCTGACGAAGCAAGTGTTCGGAGCAGCATTAACAAAATTGTTAAATTTTAAATGGCATCAGCGATTGTTTGTTTTAATAAAACTTTGTTTGGAAATGATAGCGAAAAAGGTTATCACGGAGACTTTTTCGATCCTCTCTTGCTTACTCATCTCTTATATTCCCCGAGTTTGTAATCAGAGCGATCGAAATGCAGTCTTTCGGCTTTTGCGTACCCTTTTTTGGTCACTGCAGTGCAGCTCCAGTAAGTTCGCAATGAATAAAGTATTTTTGTGCAGTTCAACTTAGTGTGTGTTTAATTCAATTTGATAATTAAGGGTGGCAAAACGAAATTGCCATTGCCATTGATTGCTAAAAGGGCAGTCAACAAAGTTGTATCTTTAAGCAACTTGCAGCATTTAATTTATTTTAATTTGCAGCTTAAGTTTGAAGACTGCTTCTGAGAGTATTTCACAAGATCATGTATATAAATCCATCCAGAACAACGACATCCTCCATCACAATTTCTGTCAATATGTTCCAAATATTGCTTCTTCCCTTATTTCCCTTATCCCTTATATTCCCTTATATTCCCTTCCATATCCATCCATTCTATATCGATCAAAGAACAACAACATATCGATCAAAAACTAATTATGAACTACAAAAATGTAATGCAAGTCATCGCCAAACGAAGAATTTGACTAAAAAGAACGAAAACAAAAAACAAGCTACAACAACACGCTGAAAGAAGCTCGCATAGAAATTGTAACTGTACATCAGTGTTGCCAGTTTAGCTATTATAAGCTAGTTCTAGCATATTTGAAACTGAAAAGCTTGTAAAACTTGCATCTAACTTACAGCTTTATATATAGCTTTTTTAAAACACATCTAGCATATTTCAGCTTTAAATTTGCTTTTGATTTGCGACATCAACGGTTTGTTTTGTAAGAAAAATATTCTTTATGGCATGAAAATATCGAAGCATGTCCTTTTTTTTGACGATGGTTATGTGCAGTTTATTTCTAATCGATAGTGTGGGAGGCACAGGCATGGGAAATGTTGCCAAACGTACGTGCCTATAAAAAGAATTAAAAATATTTAAGTTACGATTAAGATCACGAAAATTATTAATTATTTACTGATTTAATTTAAATACAAACTCTAAGAACATCTAAGCTTTAATATAATTTCAGGTTATTCTAGCTTTTATATTTTTTCCAAAAATCTAGCTTATATGTGCGCTTATCAGCTGGCAACACTGCTGTACATGCAGTCGTAACCAGCGTTTGAAAAGCTAGGCTACTCCCGTAGTTTGTCGCTTTGCTATGCTACCGTTCTCACTTTTTTCGAGAGCGGAAGCGAAAATTGAGAGCGATTGATTTGATTTTCTATGCCGTCACCAACGCTTGGTTAACCGCCTTTGGTTGCGTAGGGATATCTAGAATATGCAAGGTTAATCTAATCTGTCTAGCTCTTACACTATAAGACTTATAGATCCCAATATTTAAACGTTTTTGTTATTGTGAGTTGATAAATACATATGTCTTACTGAAAGTTTTCCTGTTTTAACTCATTAATAGAACAACGTTAAGTTGAGATTTTACAACCATTAATAAAGATTTGAAATTTCTCGATAATTAGTTAAAAGAACTTTAGGTGGAAATCGTAGTAGGGTGGTCATCAATCGAACATTCCCTTCATAAGACGAGGTAAAAACATCAGTAGCCCTGGTTTAAAGTAATAAAAGTCTTTCCTGTCATATGTCATATAAAGCTGCTCACAATTTTTCATTCCTGCTGAAGTTAGAGCTAATAATACATATAAAAACACAATCGTGCTCATTAAAAAAGTTAACATTTTTCAATTGCATAAGAATGTCGTGTGGAAAATGTCGCGGACACAAGGAGAAGAGTGTGAAGTGCCTCATAGCCGCATTGGACACTGTCAAACAGCACGCTCTTAGTAATTCAAACATAAATCGATTTTCGTTGATAATAAATAAATAATATCCACAGTGATGGAACGAGATTCGGAGGAGAACGCCCGGACCATAGAAAACCTGCAGGCCCGCAATGAAAAGCTGCACAAGGAGTTGGACTTGCTAAAAGATCGTCAGGAATTCATAATTCCCGCAGGAAAACGCAGGTTACTGTCGCTAAAAATGATTAAGGATGACATTTCTCCGCAGCCACAAAGCCAGGATTCCTTGAACGTGAACATAGCCATCAGCAGTATTGACCTTTCCGACGAAGATCAGGAAATGAAGGAAGATGAAATCATTGCGGAAACGCAGACTAACGTACCAAGCCCGCGTAAACTGCAACTACCTAACCGGAAGCCGAACATCCGGAATTTAAAAAAGCAGACAAGCAACGTTTGGATTAGTAAGCCGTCCAATAATGCAGGAGTTCTCCCCAAATTGTCACTACCTCACAAAAGTTCCAACTTAAAACAAACACGCCTTAAATTCAAAGCAGTTAAGACGAGCACTACCAAAAACGATTTGATGGAGGAAAGCAGCCCCAGTTTGAGCCTTAAAAGGTCTTGGCCCCCAAGACCTTTAGTGCAAAGGTATTTATGAATACTATATACTAAAATATATCACAGAAATCTTTCCTAATTAAGATACATTTCTGTTAGATTGTTAGATAACCGATCAAATTCTATATCCTCGTAAAGATTTCTGTGACTCTTTTAGTTATCATTCGTTTTGATTGTAAAAACTGAGCTTGCAGGACGGGCAACGTGGGCGTCTTAAGCGCTGACGACTTGCCTACCACCAGCAGTCGTAATATCACCAGCAAGTCCACTTTTGAGAAGAAGTCAATGGGCACCATGGATGTTCTTGCCGACATTTTGAAGGACGACGACGAAGACTGTTCAAGCGCCTTAAAGCAGTATGAGCAAGACATGATTGACCAGCAGAAGCATCGTCTATCAAAGCGAACTAAAGTGGAAAAAGCCACTCCAGTTGTAAAAGCTTTTAATACCGAACCCGTATCGCAGCCAGAAATAGAAGTGGGCAATGAATCAACAAAACTCTCGCAGGATACCGGGAAGTATCTAATGAAAACAAAAGAAGAGGATACAACGGACTCGGAGGAGGAGTTTCCGCGGCCTTTTTTGGTCAAAGAAGAACCTGAATTGTCGGCAAAAGATCGTTTCAATATTGAATCAACAAAACTCTTGCAGGATAAGTATCTAATGGAAACAAAAGAAAAGGATACAACGGACTCGGAGGAGGAGTTTCCGCGGCCTTTTTTGATTAAAGAAGAACCTGAATTGTCGGCAAAAGATCGTTTCAATATTGAATGTGGAGTGCGAAAAGGTTTGTACAATTCGTCCTTCATAAAATCATTTATATTTTACCAATTTCTTTCACTTAGTTGATAAATTTCATGGGCTCAAATTTGACTGATGAGAAGATCGAAAAGTATTTGGCCAACTGTAAACACGTAAATGTACGTAGTAACACGCCACCGGGATTCTGGAATCCTCACATGGTTACCTTTGCCGAAGACGATCCCCGTAACGAGATTTTGATAGACAATAGGTTTAGGGACCAGCAAAAAGGAAAAATGACATTAAAGAAATAATTAGGTTGTTCCATTTCGACCTTTTCATTTATTAGTTTTATATGTTGGTACTCATTTCTTTAACAAGTTTCCACGTTTGGCTTGGTCAATTCCCATGGCCGTGAACAAAGACTTCAAGTTTCCAGCGCCAAATC